ATTGAATGACTTTCAGCATTTTCTGAAAAGGGAAAACATTCCTTGATTTCCTTTTTTTTTTTTTTTATCCAGTGTAGCACTTACTTTCTTTTTCTTGAGCTTAACTATTAAGGTACAGCGCTTGAGGTGCTGAGTGTTTCAGCTGACTAACTAAAGAGCATGAGAAGCTGCAGCTGGGGCAACCACTGAGAACAGCGGTTGTACCAGTATGCAACAGAGATGCTTGTTTGCATTTCTGCCAACACACACAAAGAATTTTCTGCACCTGAAACCTAACTGCATTTCACATATTTTTGTTTACCTATAAAGTTCATATGCAATAGAGAAAACTGTGAGAAGAGAAATGAAATCTGTGTATCTGAATTTGTTATGTCAAAGCAATACTTTGGTTAATGGCGAAAAGAACTCCTCTCCTTTTCTTGGTTTCAGGCACCTCCTCTGCGAGAATCAGAGGAGGCTCAGATTGGTTGAGCTGTATGTTTTCATCTTGCCTCTGCACGTTTCTACTCTGCATTTGGAAAAAGTAATTAGGAATATTTTGTGGTACTATCATACTTATATTCTTCCACAAACAAGCTGCACCTTTGTATGAGGAGTCTGTGGCAAGTGTATTTTTCTGACTATCAGTTGTAGAGCTACATGATCACCTACTAAACACTTCTTTTCACAGAAAGTAGGATGATCTGGACAATGAACCTCTAGTTTGAAGTTCCTAATTCTTGTTTTTATCATATGTGAGTGTAAGTTAGCAGTTTTACCTGCAGTCATACAGTGATTTGGATTCGATATTGTTACTGTTAGACACATTGCCTGCAACCTAGTCACATTTCTCCTGGGGCAGAGAAGTGTTCCAAGAGTGCTCCTTTTCCTGCACTCCAGTCTTTCCATTTATTTCCAGTTACACCTTCTCAATGTCAAAACAGGAAGTTCAGTGAAGTTACAAAGTGGTAAATAAGAAACAAATAAATGGAACCAAACTAATTAGAAAAAGTTTTCTATTTTTTAATTGCATTTTTTGTTTAATATTATTCTAATATTAAAACATTAGAAATACATTTTTCATATGGCCTAGGAAATTGTAGTGTTTAGTACCTAGGTAGTGCTTTTGCTGTCTAAATTTATCAAGGGAAAAGACAGTAGATTTCTATATGGATAACCAGCATCTAGAGCTAGGAATAAAGCAGAAAATTTCAAGCTTTATTCTCTAATTGTTGAAGATACAGATGAATTTTAATGTAGTGGAAAATAATTTAATTTCTTCTTACTATGAAGCTTCTTGCAATTTTTTCTAATTTATCTAGTTTGGCTTCTGCTAAAGGCATTTTTTGGAATATATGCTACATGAGCTTGATTCTGGGCAGTGGTTTCTATGGTTTAACTATAGTATTCTTTAGAAAGTCATCCAATCCAAATGAGGAACAAACATCTCAGCTTTTTCTGATCTTTATTTGTAGAAGGCAAATGCCAAGCTTCATAAAAGTCAGACTGCATTTTTAAATTAATCCTGTTCCAATGTAATGAATTTTCACCTGAATATATTTGATGAAACTCCTGTTGATGCCTATCTTTGCAACCTGGAAATTCTACCAAAATTAATCCCATTGGAATTCCAGTAAAATGTATAACCTAATTCACTTGTGAGGCAGATGGGAGTTCCAGTACCATACAACACTAACTTGTAGGCTTTTTTGGTTTTGTTTTTGTTTGTTTGGTTTTTTCTTAAAATATATTACCATGGCTGAATTTAGTTCAATCTTGCTGCACTTACCCTATTTTCCAATGTTAAAAACTTGTTCGTGAAGTTTTGCTTGTATTTTGGGGAGACTGGAATTCTTCTCAAGTTATGCCTGAAGAACATGTTCTATATCAAGCCAAATAAAACTAAACACATCCTTAAAATTAAGTTTGTGCTTACTTTGAATACTTAATAAAAATGAATTAAGCACACACTTAAGTATTTGTTGGGGTTGAAGTCTGCTTGCTGAGTTAGGGAATAGAGTTTTTGGATTAGTTTTTAACAGTCCTCTTCATACACACAGATGGAGCATTCAAATGTCCTGATTGCTCACATGTTCTCATGATATGTAGCCAGGATCTGGTATGGATTTTTTTAGTTCAGTCAGAACAGGACTTCATCTGGAAAGCAGCAGATGGAAGGAAGGGAAGGGATCCAAGTATTTAATCCTTCTTTTTTTTTAGTTTTGTGAACAGATGTTGTTGAGATGATCGAGAAACACAGCCACAAATTCAACCAAAAAGTGGGTAAAGCAATATATACAAACATATGCTGATATTTGGTATATGGTTAATCAAGCAAGCTACAGTCACCTACTGCTGACATGAATATCCACCTCCATATGATGAAGATGACAGGAGTTTTAAGATTACTATAGATGAAGAATTTAATTTTGTGTACTCTTTTGATTTCTCATTCAGTCAAGAGAAAAGCTAACCACAACACTGATACTTGCTTTAATAACAGTCAAATGGTTCAGCACAGGACCAGGAAGTTGCTCAACAGCAAGCAGTAAAGTACATGGAAGGGAATTCTACTAAAAGGAGGGGAAGATTTTACCATATGGCTTTGGTTCACAGATTTCATTTTGGGGCGATAACCTCACTGACAACTGTCAGGTGGGATACTAAATCCATGAAAGAATAATTTTGTGGGATAGAATTTACTGTTGAGTTTAGAAGTGATAGTTTTCTGACTATTAATTGTCAGCAAAAGATAAGACTACTAAATTAGAACTACAGACCATGCTGATTTCATAATGGTGATCACAATGAAGTAATTCTGTTTTAGTCAGTAGTATATTTATTAATATCTCTGCATCTCTAAAAAAAAGAATTTGATGACAGTCCCCTCGAAGTAAACTGTAAATGAGATGTGTTTCTGTTTTATTTTTTGTAAAACTCCCCAGTTAAATTAAATATATGCAAAACTTTGAAAAAGTTACTAATTACAGCTTATTAAAGCTTGTTGTACCTAGTAACTTCCCTGTTGGAATTCAGTAATTATGAATGGAGGGGATCTCAACTGGCACCTGTTTTACACTTGAAAGCTCAGAAATATTGCTCTACAGTTGCACTTTAAGTTATACAACACAAGTCAAAGGAGGAATTATACAGCAATATTTCTGTTATCTTGTCTGGAAAGACCAGAAATGGAATTCACATTGGATGGGATGGGTTGTTGTCACTGTACAAACACTAATGACTGCAATATACATAGGCCTAAAGAAATAACATAATACTCAAAATGCCAACACTGAAACAATATCCATTCAAAAACTATTCATTCAACAGTAAGCATTCAAAAAAATGCTTCCAGATCCTTAGATGAAAATAATTTAACAGCATAGCATTATACTCCATATACTAAAAATTTTGTGGTACCATCTAGGTCATATTTGCTTGACTATATGGAATAAAATTTTCTTAACATTTAAAGGCATGAAAAGACTATAGTTAATAGAAAATAGTAACAGTCTACATAAAAGATGTAAAAGTTTGTTCTTTTTAAATCCAGGAGGCAAAAAAAGTAAGGAAACTTACTCTGAATACTGAAGCATCTATAATTCAGTAATTTTTGCTCCTGATGAAAAAACATGCAACCTAAACCAGTTTAACACCACAAATATCTAGAAAAGATTTTTGTGAGGAAGACATAGATAAACAAATGTTATTAAAAAACCCCATGATCAGAGAAGTCTTCTCATAATACATGGGAATCCTCTTATTTGACATATTTCATGCTCATTGTTTTTATGGACTTTGATATTCTAACAAGAATTTCAACTACCTTATGGACACTTAATTAGAAATTTATTTTTTTTAAAGCTGCATACAATCATTCATTTTATAAAACAGCCATAAATCATACATAATATAGCCTTCTTTAGACAAAGCAAAAGTTATTGCTTCCACCATGTCATACATGTACTTGTGGGTTCCACCAAAACCTGTATACATGTCTAGCATTTTCTAAAGAGATCCTCACCCTTGTCTTGATGAGATGCCAGAAATCAACAGAAGTAAGAGGGATAGATGATGGCGTAAAAATGTGGATATTATGGTAGCCACCAAAATAAACTCTAAATATCTAAATCAACCAAATCTACAAATTTTGTATTTTAAAAACAGATATCACAACTCTCTGAAGGGAGCTTGGCAAAAAAAGGGCTCAAGAAAGGGGTAAGAATGGAAAAGTAAGAACAGCCTAGAGAAAGCTATTTGGATATGAAGGAGTTAAGGACATAAATTATTAGAACTGAAGCAGACCAACAGGATGGATTCATTTCACAAGAATGAAAGGGAATGCTACATGGCAACATGGAAAATGAGATGAATACAAGGAAATGAAAGAAAGAAGATGCAAAGCACTTTGGTTAAACTGTAGGATCACATAACCTTGTATAGCTCTTAGCAGGCAATCACCATGCCAAAAAAAGATAATGACACAATTATAGAACAATGGAGGTTGTAAGGGAAGTCATCTCAGTCAACCCCCAATAAGAAAACATAAGAAGAAAACATGAAAGCAGAACAAAAACCCTGCAAGTAACTGCAAAACAATCACTATAGGATGCAAAGGGGAACAGATGGCCAAGTACAGGATAAAGAAATGGACAAACATGTTGATAGTGATATCTGTAACAAAAACAATGTAATGCGATAAAACCCAATACAGAATGCATTTCTGGTTAAGATCTAAACAATAAGCCATTCAAGTGGAAAGAGAACAAAAGGCTCCCAATGCAGTTACAACAAATTGTCAAAATAGTTTCATAATATTCCCAGAAAACATTATGGTGTGCACAGAACAAGGTTGGATTCAGTCCACAAGATGAAATGCTGCTTTAATTTAGCATTTATCACGAAGTAAAATCATAAAGATTTCAGTCAACTTTCAAAGGTACTGTGTGGAAGACTTGGTGTTAACAGGATTTTTGTGCTGTAGTTTTGAGGAAGAGAGGAAAAGCTGCAAAACAATCAGAAAACCATAACAAAATTTCGTTCTGCTTTCCTGATCTCCGGTCAAGTGCATGTCCATAGACATTATGCATTAATCATACGCTGGTAAACCAAACAGTTCTGGTTTGAAATTCTCCATGGAGTTCAGCAGTACTGTTGCCTCCTTTTTAAGATCTGGATTTAATTTTTCATCTGGAATCATAACCACTTGCATTCCGGCTGCCAGGGCTCCTTTGACTCCAAGTGGTGAATCTTCAAACACAAGACACTGAGAAACAGGGAGGTGAGGGGAAAAAATTAAATAATGTTACTATACCTTTATTGTTTCGTTTTAACAGAGAGAATGATCCTGAATAAAACTTAGTAGGAAAGCTAAATTCAATTCCTGGTTTAGACATCTCTAATTAGAACAAGGACAAAGCTCTCAATTTAAACATCTGTATGGTAATTAATCTTATATTAATTTCAATTAAAAAAAACCATCACCATGCATACTTAAATACCAGGAACTGCTTATCCAGATGTTTCTAAGTGATTTGTTTTGTAGGGATGAGTTTAAGCACAAGCTTAAAATAAAGTTATGCAAAAGCTTATATAACTTTATAAACAGGCTATTTAGTTCTTCAAGACCAACTTTACAACCTGCAAAATGGCAGAAGTAGATGTAGCATTTCCTACATACACAAGATGGGAAAGACTACACTTAGGTCAATATTAGGACTTTGGACAGAAGTCACTTGCAGAAGAGGGCTGTTGAATTCATGCTTAATTAATTCACTTAATTCTTCAAAAGCAACAGTAGAGCAAAAAAACCAGCAATTATATTGGAAGGTTACTTTTAGAGAAGAGACAGTTCAGTCAGGCAAAAGTTCCATGTCTTACAATAGTCATAGTCATTCAAGATTGCAGCTGGGAAGCAAAGTTGTTAAAGATAATCGATATATTATTTATGTGAATTTTGTAATTTAACACAGGAATATTGAATAATAAATATATAACAAAAATAAACATATAACAAGTCATCTAGTCTGAGCTTTTATATACTAAAAGATAATGCTTCTGGAGTTCATTTCAGGATGTATCTAATGAAGCATCTCTTCCTGACATTAACCAGTTTTGAGTTGGAATTTTTAGTCATGGACAAACCAAAGCAACCTTTGGCATCCAACTATCCAAAAAATTCTGACCTACACTGATAAGTGGTTTCTAACACTTCTGCAGTTCAGATTATATTTCTTAAAAATATTACTAGCACTGCTACTATTACTACTTCCACCAAAATTACTGCCATAAGTAATTTCAATTAATCAGCTCAGATGTTGGGATGTTTAGTGCAATTTTCCCCACACCCTTCAGGCAGTGCAACTCTGCCTTATCACAGATATCTCTCTCATGCATTAGGCCATTCTCTATAGTAGTTACTGATTTACCAAATCTATTCCTACATACCCAGGATGGATTTTCTTATCCTTTTCTTCACAGCACAAGAGACTGTGGCAGCAAATACTAAATGGGTAAGAGCAATGATTTGCTAAACTTAGTTTAACTTTTGACTGAATCTAGACATGACACACTGAAACAACATGCAGCAGTATACTGTATCTCTTTGGCTCTCCAACACACAACCTTTCCACCAGGGAAGATTAGGGATGCACAATGTTTGTCTGTTCTTGCTGTGCTCTAAGAAAACGAAGTTGAAACCTGAAAAAACTTTATTATGTTCAAAGATAACATTTTTGCAAGATGTATGAAATATCTACACTATGTATGCCCATCTGTATCAGAGACTGTGGAAGAGGAAGAGAGAATGAAGCCTTTCTTTCTGCTTGCTTTTCTTTTTTAAAATATTGATTCTTGCCCGTCAACATGACAGCAACCACTTGGAGTCTGCCAAGAGAAAGTAAGAGGTGCTTTCTACCTTGCATGTAATAAGGTAAAACTTAATGATTTTTAGTGAGCCAACGGAATTGCACCAATCTTTTGTGCTCAATTTCCTTTACACAGTCATTGAATTCCAGTTTGAACAATGTGATATTTTAAAATGTTGATCATTATCAGTATTACTAACCACAAATATCTAAGCAGCTGATCCTGCAAAGCTTGGAACAATTGCTGTTAGAACAGAAGCACAGTTCTGCCTATAGGTTTTGTTCTTAACAATGCCTTAGTTTGTGACCCTAAGCACTCTGAGGACTCTGAAACAGTAAATGAAACCCTGGCAGGCTTCGCCTTTTGAAGAGTAAGCTTAAATGTTGCACATAACAGCATTATCAAGGCCTTTCAGAAACGTTTTCTAATCCAGCCCATACAAAGAAATGTACTTCACTGATTTGCCTTGCAAGACCTAATTGAATTCCATGATGTCAATAAGCTTACTGTCCAAAAGGAGCTGATGATTATGGAAGGCAATATGCATAATGAAAAGCTTAACTAATTCCCTGGAACCAGAAGCAATTAAACCTCTTAATTACCACAGAAGCCAGGCAAATGACCCATAATTACAGTGGCTTTAATGTTACAGGAAATAAGTGTACTAGGTCTTCCCAGTCCTTCTTGCTATGACACTTTTTGTCAACAGCACAGCAACATTTTTAATGTATGATGAAAGGTTTACAAAGGTTCACATACAAAATGGATTTATTAACTTTGCTGCGCAGAGATGTTATAAACTGCTCGCTGTCCAGGCCCACCCACATACCAAATTTAGAGATATGAACATAGCCAAGGTCTTCCCCATTTTGCGTAAGTATTGAAACATCAGCATCACTCCAACTGAGAGAGACAGATGAGATTTATAGAGACTTCAGCTGAGATTCTGGCTGCTTCTCTGCATTATTTCTAAAACGTGTGTCACTGATCAATATTACTGCTATGAGATCTCTCAAAAGGTCATTCTAATATAGGACAGATTTCACTTTGGAATTAACTAGATGCTTTAAAAAGTAAAGTAGTAAAGCATACTAATTTATATTTCAGTCTATGAATCTAGAAGAAGAAAAATTAATCACTTAACCAAAGGAAGAAACAATAAAATCACTACAGCACCTCTTTAACTCATCTTCCTACATGAAATCTAAGAATATAAGAAAAGAGTGGTAGTTATGTCCTTTGTATGCACCCTCTCCAACCTATATACTGTAAATGTCTGTATGGAATATTTACATAACTAACAGCGATATCCATATGTCTTATTGCTATTAGTGATAACCAAGAAGTCTGGAAAGATAAAAGATAAAAATCAGTTTTGAAATTAAAGTTTTGAAAACCCTGTGAAGATAATATATATGCACAGAGAGCGCTTATCAAACAAATATCCTTGACCACATATGACACTACTGTATCAACTCTGAAACAGAATGAGAGCTGAGACTAAAGATGGCATAATTTATACACATAAAACTTGTCTGCAAATTACCATCTATTTTTCTATAAAGAAAGAATGAAAAGAAAGTTTTCTTCACCTTTAAAATGGGTAAATATAGCCTCAAATTATTTCATACTGTATTAGAAAAATCTGTTCGCTGGTTCTGGTCTGATCTGGTTAATGAAAACATTTGCAGACATGAGGACTAAACCTCATATTTTAGTACATCATTTAAGATCCAATTCAAATATCACTGTATCACTAAAAACATCCCCACTGATTTCAATGGACATCAAAGTGAGCCCCAAAACAGGCTGCAGGAAGAAATTCACCATGTACAGCCAGTTCATGTTGGTTTCAGAATGACAGGTGGTCAGGCCTTTCATTTCTACAGGTAACTCATTGACTGTTCTCTTCCAAAAATACTTTTACATTCCTCATTGTGACAAACTACCTCATAATGTGGTCATAATTCAAAACTAAGTAGTATTAGTAGCTAAGAAATAAATTATCAGCCTGAAAGATACTACTACTGCAATCATGTTTTTTGTTTTGTTCAACAACTTTTATCTCTTTTCCCTTGCTGATTCAATTTTGAAATAATTCCACTACTGACCAATGAGTTACTATTTACTAGTGTGTGACCCAGGAATTTTCAAGAACCATAATATAATTCAGAATAAAACACAGATTGATCTATATCCCTTACAAAATGCTGAGATGCTGAAAAGATACTGTTTATAATTTATGGAAGTTGGTGAAAATTCAAAAAAAGAGGAAACACCAACAACTTAACTAATATGTCATAATGCAGATAGCTGGGCTAGTTTTTAGGTAGCTTGTGTTTTCTTTTTTCCTATGCTTTGATATACAAAGTATCTAGGAACAAGGGGAAAATGTATTTTTGGGTGACCCATTTACCACCAGAGTTACTTAAACATTATTGAATAAATGAATTTTAAGCAGCTAAAGTATTTGCAATTTTGGCCTCCCACTGTGTTAACTCTTGGAAGAATTAACACAAAACAATAATGAATTAACTTGACTAATGTTTCTCTCCTAATCTTTGGATTTAAACTTTTTCCAGAAATAGTTGGGAAAAGTCTCAGTAGCAATAATGAATTATACTTCATTGTATTTTAAAGACATATGCCAATTTGACTAGCCAGGTATAACAGAATCATATTAAATATGCTGCTTAAGTAAGTTATGCATCTTACAACCCAAGACTTAGTTCCATTAAGGAAAAATGAGGAGTAAGCCAAGATGTTTTTAAACGCTATAACAAATAAACAAATAAGCTGGAAACTTACAATCAAATGAATTATACATCAAAGTATCCAGAATACTAACTACCAGCCACTATTCTTCATGATTCAATTATTCATATTAAGAAATGTTTGGAAATTACATGAACATATACTTTTTAATTCAGATTTTTATTAACTTGTTACTAGGAGTTCATTGCAGACCAGTACAAGACTCCAATTATTTACCAGAAGACGTATAAGATAACACCAAAAATCATCAGCATATTTTAAAAAAAAAAAAAAAGGAAGTGCACTACCTCTGCACATAATTGGATCACTATACATTTCCAGCTCTTTCATAAATGTCACTTTATGTTTCAGCCCATACTAGCAGCTACTATCTCACAAACCTGTCCACAGGGCGTTATCTTAAGGTGGGCCAGAAGTGAAATGGTTTGGACGGGGAAGAAGGAGGAGAAATTTCAAATTTCTTGCTTGTTTTCAAGACTCAATCAAGTGAAAGAGAGTGCTTCTGTGAGTGACAGTCAGATCCAGACACAGAGGCTCTGTGAGGCAGGGAGAAGGTCACATTTACATGCAGGGTTACTCTGATCATTCCGGATGGCTGGAGCACTCTTTTCACAGAGGACTGTG